CAGATGTGGCTCCAAAACGGTCGTCAATTCATGACCAAATACAACGACGTCCCTCGCTTCTGCCTAATGCATCAGAGTCTTCTATCCCACGACGACATCAACTTGGTAGACGTAGAAGACGTGGATCTATCAGCCCATTTGAAACATATGAATGAATTGGGAATGTTTGATGATTCAATTGTCATTGTAATGGCTGATCATGGTCATCGATTCGCGAAATTACGAGAGACACATCAGGGACAATTGGAAGAACGAATGCCCTTCTTTTCCATTTCATTGCCAAAAGAATTGAGAGAAACCGAGAAGGGCAAGAGGATGGAGAAGAATTTGAGGTTAGAAATTTGGGGGGAATGGGCTGGAAATGGGGTTGAAAATAGGCCGAAAATTGAAAAATAGGCGAAAAAAGGTTGGAAATAGGCCGAAAAAAGACTGAAAATATGCTTAAGAATGACTATGAAATATCGCTGAAATTCGTTTAAAAATGACCTGAAAATCACTGAAATCGGGTACAAAATAAACTAGTAGATTCAAGTATAGCTGAAACTGGTTGAAAAAAATGACTGAAACTAGGCTAAAGTAGGCCTAAAAAGGCTGAAAGAAGGCTACAATGAAGGGTAGTAAAATAGGTTAAGTTTTTGCTGAAATAGGGTAATTATAGGCTGAAAATAGGCTGGAAAATGGCTAAAATTAAGGCTAAAAATAGGCTAAAAGTAGGCGGAAAATATATAAAATGGGTTAAAATGAGTTAAAAATAGGCTAAAGTAAGCTGAAACTAGCTTACAAACACCGTTTTGAAGCCACATCTGAAAAAATGGCTATGATGGCCTAACTTTTGCAAGTTTGAGTTTTCTAGGCCACCAACTTTTATTACCTAGAATTGATGGGATATTCATTTGGAGTGTTTTCTAGATCACTTTGACGCCGTGGTGGCCTAGAAATCTTAACTTGCAAAAGTTAGGCCACCATGTAAAAACGATCTAGAAATCGTCTAGAATGACCTTAGTGTGTTTCTAGGCCAACCTAACGTGATGGCCTAGGAAACTCAATTTGCGAGAGTTAGGCCATCTTGTAAAAACGATCTAGAAATCGTCTAGAATGACCCTAGTGTGTTTCTAGGCCAATTTAACGTGATGGTCTAACTTTTGCGAGTCGAGTTTTCTAGTCCACCATGTAAAATGACCTGAGGATTACTGTAGTAGTGGCTAGCAATCTACCCTGTACAATGGCCTAGAAATCTTAACTTGCAAAAGTTAGGCCACCATGTTAAAACCCCCCCCCCCCTTTTTTTCTAGAGAAAACGCGGAGAAACTAACAAGTCCATTCGATATTCACGCAAGCCTTCTGGATATTCTGAATCTCTCCGCAACGTCTTCTGATGATTTCCACCGAATGCAGGATGCTTCTCAAAAACGATCCCTGTCCGTTTTTCGACCGATTCCAACTGATCGAACGTGTTCTCAAGCTGGTATTGAACCACATTGGTGCACTTGTTTATCATGGAAAAATGCTCTGGACACTGAGGAGGATAGGAAATTGACCAAAAGGTTTTTTTTTTAATTTTTGAATTTTTTGTAAAATTCTGAAAATTGCAGAATCGCCAACGCTGTGGTCCGCGAGATCAACAAGGAGATTGCGGTGGAGAAGGAGCTGTGTGCGCCGCTGAAATTGGCCAAGATTATTGACGCTAAAAAGTACGGTAGCTGAAATGGTCGAAAAATCCCCAAAAATAGCGAAAAAAATGACCCGAAAGTCATGGAAGACGTTTCGCAACTTTTGAGACCTTTCAGAACTTTTTGAACGTTTCGCAACTTTTTAGACGTTTTAGAACATTTCGGACGTTTCAGAACTTTTCGGACATTTCAGACCTTTTCGGGCGTTTCCCAACTTTTGGGACGTTTTAGAACTATTCGAGACGTTTTAGAACTTTTCGGACATTTCAGAACTTTTTTGACGTTTTAGAGCTTTCGAGACGTTTCAGAACCCTTTGGATATTTTAGAAATTTCCGGACGTTTCAGAACTTTCAAGACGTTTTAGAACTTTAGAACGTTTCGGAACTTTTTGGACGTTTTAGAACTTTTTGGACATTGTAAAACTTTTCAGACATTTTCGGACTTAGCAACTTTAAGGCCCATGTCAACCTCAAAAGCCATCAATTCCAATTTTTCATCTTTTTCTCAATAGAGCGAATTTGCAGACTGCTCCCAGACGAAGGCCTCCTAGCCTATAAGAATGTCAAAGATGCCGATGGCTTTGTTCCGGACCTCTCAGGCTCAACGAAGGCCGCATTCGCCCATTATCAGCTGAAAATTCAAACGACGCCTGGCGTGGCGATTTACGAGATTACCCTATTCTACAGTATCCTTGAGGATGCGGTAGAATTGGATTTCGGAGCGATGAGCCATGTGAACAAGTTCGGCGACACCCCACATTGTATCATTGATAAGAATTATTATTTGGCCACCTTCTGTGTGTGTTATGATCGGATTTGATTAAGATTTATTGATTTATTGATGTCTCTCTACGGTTACTACTCTTTTCGTTCGGATTTTTGAGATTTTTTTCTTGTACAATTTATTCCCGAAAATCTTTTATGGTGCTTTATACTTGCCTTTAATTGGAATACACTCATTTTCCTGAATTGTTAATTAAAAACAATTTTTGTGGAAAAAAAACGAATTTTGAAAAACTGACGTTTTAGGACTTTTTGGACAAATTAGAACTTTCCGGACGTTTCAGAACTTTTCGGACGTATTAAAACTATCAAGACGTTTTAGAACTTTTTGGGCTCTTTAGGACATTCTGAGACGTTCTAAAACTTTTTGTGCGTTTTAGAAAGTAATGGACGTTTTAGAACTTTTCGGACGTTTCAGAAAATTTTTAGACGCTTTAGAACTTTTTGGACGTTGTAGAACTTTTTGGACAAATTAGAACTTTTTAGATGTTTTATAACTTTTTGAACATTTTAGAACTTTCCAGACGTTTTAGAACTCTTGGGGATGTTTTAGAACTTTTGAGACATTTTAGAATTTTCCAGACGTTTTAGAACTTTTTGGACGTATTAGAGCATTTTGGACGTTTCAGAACTTTCCGGACGATTCAGGACGTTTAAGACGTTTTAGAACTTTTCGGACGTTTTAGAACTTTTGGGAGGTTTCAGGACTTTTTGGGCTTTTAGGAACTTTTTGGACGCTGTAGAACTATTTAGGAAATTTATTTTCAGTTTCAAATTAAAAAAAAAATCACATTGATAAAAAATTCTTGCTGACAAAAAAGAACATTTTATTCCCAATATCAAATTTACATCAAATCAAATCATTCCAAAAATTTCCACGTGGATTCTTCTGCTTATCACCTCGTTATCAATCGTTAATGCTGATGAACATTACACTGAAGAAGGACGAGTAGCCGCATGGATTATTGTAGTCTGTTGTGTCGTGGCGGTTTGTGTTATTGGTGGAATCGCTGGAATAGTTTTTTTGATGAAAAATCGAGGATCCAATCAGGTCATTGTGATGCATTGAGAGACGAGAGAGAAGAGGATTAGAGAAAAAGAGAACTTTTTTTTCTATTTTTTTGGAATAAATGAATTTTCACAGTTTCTGTTTATAATGTCATCCTCTGAAAGAGTTGAACTTGTAAGCTATTGTTTAAAGTTTTTGGCAGCCACCGGCTGAGCTACGCCGTTGCGGGCCGATGGCGTATATCCTTACTTTGACCCAATTTATCTCGATTTTTGTAATAGATATCAAAAAGTGATCAACTGATAAAATGTTCATCATGTTATCAGCTACATTTTATTAGTTGACTACTTTTTGATATCTATCATAGGAGCTGAGATAAATTGACTTAAAGTTGAAAGAATGGGGAGGCTTATTCCCGGATGCCTGCCTACCGATATCTCATGATAAATTGGGTCAAAATTTGGTATCTTCAGATCATACATCGAACACACTCTCGCCACCTAAACTTTTATATAAAATATCGACATTTTGAATCAGAAAAAAACAACAAATTAATTAAAATCATTTATTCAAAGGACACAAAAGGGAATCAATAAATCCAAAATAAGAGTCTCTCATTTTTCCATTAGCTTTTGTTTTCATCACAGGATCCTTGATCTACCGCACCACCGTCACTTGACCACCTTGGTTCTGGTTACGTCTGCTCATCACGAAGAATGCTCCAACAGAAGCAGAAATAGATATCCCGATTGCAGCAGCAATAATGCAGATCCAAATCCAAATGGCTGCATTTTGCTCATCTTTACTGTATTCGTTCCATTGTTTAACTTTGGCAATAGAGCTGATTGGTAAGAGAATGAGAAGGAGAATCCACGTGGACATTTTGGTTGTAGATTTGAATATTGGTGAAGTGAGGTTTTTCACTAGATTTTTGAACATTTAAGGAAGATTTCTTATCAGTTAAGGTCATCTAAGTAGGGCAGGAAAATGAGACGTGACTTGGAAATTTTCAATTGGATCTTCAATCGGGTGGATCAGAAAAAGCGCTATAACTTTTTTAGAGGTACAGTAGCGTTCTTATAAATTTGCCAGCCAAAGCCTTCAGCAAAGTTAAACTTATAAGCAAAATTTCAAGGATTTCGTGCCACTACCTGCTGAGCTACGCAGCCTGCCTACCGATAGCGTGTTTCCATACTTTGGCCTAATTCATCTCGGTTACTGTAAGAGGTATCAAAAAGTAGTTAACTAACAAAATTTGTATCATTTTATTAGCAACATTTTATCAGTCAATCATTTTTTGATACCTTTCAAAAGAACCCAGATAAACCGGGTCAAAGTTTGGAGAAAGATTTTAAATCAAGATAACAAATTTTTCCACACAATCTCCCTAACAAATACTTCATTTTCCAAAAATCCCCCGAAAATGAATTTCAAGCAACTTCTCATCGTTTCATTGCTCATTGGATTTCTGATGGCAGCCGAAATGACGGAACAGGAGAAACGAGATGCTGGAGTTGTGCTCATCGTGTGCGTTGTTGTCGGTGTGCTCATTTTTTTCTCAGCGATAGGAGCCGCCATGTTTTTCTATATGATGAGGAAGAGCAATAATTACAATCATTACAATAATTACAATCATGGAGGAGTTGTTGTTCTTTGAACTTTATTGATCTGAATAAACATTTTCGTTGAGATTTTTTTCGCAATTTTTTACTACCCAATTTATCTAGATACCTGTAAGATGTATCAGAAAGTAAACAACTGATAAAATGTTGCTGATAGTACGATAAATATTTTATCAGTTGGCCACCGTTCAATATCATTCATAGAAACCGAGATAAACTCGCTCAACGTAAGTATACACGCCATAGGTAGCAAACCGGCGACCTCCGCGAACGAGCCCACCACCCAAGCTGTTAGCTTCAAGCCAAGTTACCTCGTTTCCTGGTAATGGTCACAAAAATATGTCAACTGATAAAATGTTACTGATAATATAATACACATTTTATCAGTTGATCACTTTTTGGTATCATTGATAGGAGTCGAGATAAGCTTGCTCAAAGTAAGCACATGCGCCATTGGTCGACAGACACATGCTACGACCGCGTCGCTCAGTTGGTATTATCCCAAAATTTCCTACAAGTTTAAGTACATTAAAGTTTTTTACTGACTAAAAGATAAGGAAAATTCTGTATCTTTTAAAAAGTCATGACAATTTTTCTGATCTACCTTTTCAGTTTCCAAGTCACCAAGTCAGTTTGAGATCTTCAAAAAATGTGGGATCCACCTTTGACTTAATTTATCTCGGTTACTGTAAGAGATATCAGAAAGCTGTCAAAATGTTTATCAAGTTATCAGTAACATTTTATCAATTAACCAGTTTTTGATATCTTTCACAGGAACCCAGATAAATTGACTCAAAGTTAAGGGAGTATCAATCACTGCCAATTTTCAATTTCCAAGTCACACCTCATTTTTCTTGGCCTATTTAGATGACCTTAACAGATAAAAACCTTCTTAAATTCATTAAAAATCTAGTAAAAAAACCTCAATTCACCAATATTCAAATCTACAACCAAAATGTCCACGTGGATTCATCTTCTTCTTCTTCTCTTACCAATCGTCTCTGGAACATACCAAGAAGCGACCCCGGAACAGAAAAACGCGGCCGTATGGATTGTGATTGGCTGTATTTGCGGTGGAATGGCTATATCGGCTTCGGTCGCTGTAGGAATATTCATGATGAATCGAAGAAATGCAGATCAGGTGTTGGTGGTACGGTAGATCAAGGATCCTGTGATCGAAGACAAAAGCTAATGTAATAGTGAAAGACTCTTATTTTAGATAATCAACTTTATTGATTATGTGTCTTTTGAATGAATGATTTGAATTTTGTTCTTTTTTCTGTTTCAAAATGTTTATATTTTTACAGAAGTTAATATCCCTACCAAAAATTTGACTTGATTTATCTCGTTTATTGTAAGAGATATCAAAAAGTTGTCAACTGATAAAAAATTGTTGACATTATGATAAACATTTCATCAATCAACAACTTATTGATATCTCTTACAGAAACCGAGATAAATTGGGTCAACGTATTCATATACCCCTGCGGTCAACATATATATTTTCCCTTAATTTTTCTCTAGATTTTTTAGGTCACGACCTAGATTTTTTTAGCGATTCCGATGGATCGAAATGGAATTGGTTTTGTGTATTGAAAGTTCTCATCTATTGCAATAGATTCCAAGTAAAAGAATTCCGCCACTTTGAGTTTTTTAAAAACACGACACAAGGTTTTCACAGAAGTGATAACATCCTTGCGAATGAAAACATAGCGAATTATTGGTTGAAACTTGATGATCCATTTGATCTGTGATTCTTTACCAATATTTATTTCAGAAATCGGGGCTCGAAACACTTCACAGATTTGCTTAGCCATCTTTGTCAAGTCTTCAATTGTATTTCGGTTGTACATTTGAACAAAAAAATCATAGGACACGTTAGGACCAGTCAGACAGGTTTCATGATAAGGATATCCTGTTTTTTTTCTTTCTATATACAATCACCCAATTCCTCCCTGGATTAATACAACATCTCAACTGGATTTCGAATGGATTGTCAGCTTTCAAAATAATTTTCAAAGGGTTCCAACGAATGAGTTTCGCAATTGTTTTGGCTCGTTTTCAAAAAAGCTAGAAGAGGATTCTGGAACAAAATACAGTAGAATTTCAGTCAGAAAAGTTTCGAAGCAAAAAAAGACTCACATTTCGAGAATATCCAAGTTTTCGATACAATTGAGTAGCACTACTCTGGGAAGCTTTAGTAGAGGAAATCGACGTTTTGCCGATTCGGTTTGAATCTGGAGTTGTTCAAAACGTTGCAAAAGAGCCATTTCGGATTCATGAACACTCATTTATGCGGTTTTGAGACTCCTTTTAGGTGCGAACCCTCAAAATCAGTAAGTGGCCAAATTCGAAACAGGCGGGCAATCAATGACAGCCAGCTGGTGTACGGTAGAGCGCATTTGGAAGATGGGTCCATCTTTTTAGGAAGGTGAACGCAGGGTAACTCGAAGAGACATCAGAACAACCGAAAATGTATTAAATCAATTGGTAAAAAAATCTTCTGAAAATGATAGAAAAAAATATTATGTGAAGCTTAGAATTCCAGGAGGAACTGAACTTTGGGCTCGCGCTGCTGATAAGTCATTTGCTATGGAAGTTTGTCTCACAAGAAACCAAGCTTCTGGTCAAAAAGCTGAGGATCGCGGAATCGTCAGCAAGGTGTTCCCAGTGGATCAAGTCGTCGGAGAAGCTGTGAAGCTTGGAGAGAAGGTTGCTGACCAATGAAAACTGATTGTTCAAATGGCCAAAGAAGCTGTTAACAAAGCTTATGAACTGACTCTTCAAGAAGGTCTCCACTTTGATATTAGATTTTTTAGGTCATGACCTAGTTCTGGGATTTTTTCAATTTTCCATTTTAGGATCTATTCATGAGTCAAAATATTGATCATGAATGTCTTACTAAAATAATATTAGGTTGGCGGGAAAGTCTTTGTCACTTTTTCAATAGTTTATTTCTCAAAGAAAAAATAACCGAATAATTAATTATATTGTCCATCATTATCAACAACATGTCTCCAACGTTCCCTCAATTTATGGATTCCATTGCGGTAGAATCCAGCCGGGCGTGAGGCAAAGTATTGTTTGAGTGCCGCTTCGACCGCTCCACGGGAATTGAAGCTTCTTCCTTCGAAGGCACGTGTCATATCGCCAAATAACCAATAGTCGGAAGGAGCAAGATCAGGAGAATACGGGGGGTGAGGGAGAACATTCCATCCATATCCCATCAGCTCCTGCTTCACTTGTTTCGAAACATGTGGGCGAGCGTTATCATGTTGATAGTACACTTTCTTGTCTTTCAGGGCCGAACGGTCGACTGCTTTCTTGAGGTTTCGTAGTTGAGTAGTGTAGAGGTCTCCAGTTATTGTTTTGCCCTCGGGCAGAAGTTCCCAGTAGATGGGGCCGTCCACTCCCACCACACAGAGAGCATAACTTTTTTCGGATGAAGGTCGGGTTTTGGGACATCCTGTGGGCTCTCTCCTTCTCCAACCCACTGGGATTTCCTGTGGTGATTATCGTAGAAGACCCACTTCTCATCTCCGGTTATTAGCCGGTCCAGCCATCGATCGCCCGCGTGGAGAGTGAGAAGAGTAATCGAATCGTCGACTCGGCGGTCAAGGTTGGCTTGAGTCAGGTGATGAGGTATGAATCGACCAAAAAGTTTTCTCATTCCAAGAGACTTCAAACCTTCAAGGACTGTGCTATGGTGAACTCCGAATGTGACAGCTAGTTCACGGCTAGATTGAAATGGATCCGATTGCAATGCGTGCTTCAGCTTGTCCAAATCCAACTCACGGGGTCTCCCAGAGCGATCCTTTTCATCGAGCGAGAAGTCATCTTTTTCGAAACGATGGAACCAATTGCGAATAGTATTGTAGTGAGGGGCATGTGTGTTGTACACATTCTTCAAGAAAGTTTCCGAATCCTTCATCGTGGTGTGAGATAGGAAGAGGTAAATCAAAACATGTCTGATGTGAATAGCAGTGGGAACAAACATATCGTTTCAATTACAGATGAGGAGCAGGGAAGGAGATGGGGACTTGTTTATATGGAAGGTTCTTATCACCTTGTTATTCACTAAAGTCGATATCATACACAGCATCCATATACGAGAACAGTGATTAAACAAACAGAGTGACAAAGACTTTCCCGCCAACCTAATAAAACATTTCTGTGGATTTCAGAATAATAGATTCTTTTCATGAACAATTCGGAAATTTTTAAAATCTCGGAAATGTTTAATTCTTTTAAACAATTCGGAAATTTTCAAAATTATTCTGAATTCTGAAAAATGATCAGAAATGGCGTTGCTATTTTCCCTCGCATTCTGTTTCTTTCTTTTTTTTCCTTTTATTTTCTTTCTTTTCCACTGTTTCAGAATTTTTTTCTTCCTTTCAAATCTTTAAAAGCCATACTAAAAGAATATTTCCAGAAAATCACTTTTCTCTCAGAAATAGCGTGGATAAGAAAAAAATTTGGGCAGTTAGACGTAAATGACGTGAATATTTCTTCAATATTTTTCTAAAAATTTGCACTGTAGAAATAAAAGAACGTCTCCAGAAGACGTCAGACACAAAATTTCGAAAGATTAAATATTCGGGCATCATATAGCTGCTATTTCCGGTCTCTGTGAAAATTTGGGAAAATTTGGTTCATTCTGGACTTCGTTAGGGAAGGTGATACGGGAACAAACGGGCACATTCACACACAGAATTTGGTGATTGTTAATAGTAAAGATAAAAGAAGAGATTACTAGAAAGGTAAATAAAATTGAAACGATGAAGTAAGATAGTGAAACAATATGAACAATACAATTACTCTCCCGAAGTATTGGAAATATCACAATTCTAAAGCTTGTAGCTTTCTGTGAAAGAAAAAAAACAGGAATTGAAGAAACAACTTTAACTGTTTCAGAATTTAACAAAAAATATTACTGAAACCCAAGAAGAACAGGAATTAACAAAATAAAACACTCTAAGTTTGCCTACGCCAAACTTGGAAATTGAAATATACATTTTTTTCCTCGGTGACGTTTCGGAAGATGGATCCAATCATTCCATCGTTTCTGATCAAATTGTGTACCCTTTCTACCCATGGTGGATGGTGTATCTCTTCAATGTTATCATCATCATCATTCAAAATCCTGAAAAATTAAAATAAATTAGTTAAATAATTGTGTTACATTTATTCATCTTACACTGCCGTAGGTCTTCCATCGTATCCATCACTAGCCGTCACATTTAAATCTTTCAAAACCTCATTTGCATAGCTATCATCATCTATGAGTATGGAGGTTTGAACTTCCAGATATATCAAATTGCAAAGTTTTGATCCCATCTGCCATTCCTTCAATATAGTGTTGATATCCTTTGGAGTCAACCTTGACCCATATAAACGAATCATAGAATTGGTCCCATTGAGAATTGCAGGCAAAGTAACCCAATAGGATTTCCAAATCATAATGGAACGAGATGAAATCGGTTTCATGATTTGTATACTCTCATCTGTTTTGATATATCCCAAATCAAAACGAATCATCATTTTCAGATTTTTTAACATACGATCTAAGAGCTCAGGAGAGTTGATAACACCGTCTGGAATCCAAACATATCGAATTGTTGGTTGAAAATCGATGAGCCACTCGATCATTGATTGTTCAAAAATTTCAATATCACGTAATGGAGAACGAAACACTTCACAGACGTGTTCAGTCATCTGCGTTATGTCTTTAGTAGCGATATTTGGAACTGAACAATGATATACTAGAGGATAATGCCTATATTTAAGAAAAGGATATTCCGTTGAGTCTTTATCCTTAGGAAATATAATAATCCATTCTCGCTTCCAACCCCTGGAAAGATCGATTATTCTCAAGAAAGTTCGATTTCTGTCTTCGGACGTCAAACGAATATGCAGAGGAAACCAACGAATGAGTTTAGAAATTGATTTGGCTCGTTTTGAGAGGAGAGAGAAGAATATTCTGAAAGTTATAATTGTGAGTAAGTTAGTTTGTAGAAAATTCGAAAAATCGACTTTTCCGTCGGAAGCAAAGAAAACAATTGAATAAAAAAGAACTTACATTTCCAAAACATTCAAATTTTCGATACATTCGAGTAACACTACTCGAGGAAGCTTTAACAGTGGAAATAGGTTTTTTGGTGATTTTCTTTGAATCTCAAGTTGTTCAAAAAGTTGCAGAAAAGCCATTTCGGCTTCATGAACATTCATTTCAGAGGTCTCTTTCTATGTGAATGTCAACAATCAATAGGTGACCAAATTCAAAAAAGGCGGGCAATTACTGACAGACAGCTGTTGTGCGGTAGAGCGCATTTGGAAGATGGGTCTCCTTTTTTTGTTTCATTGATGGATGCATGGGTCGTAAAACAAGTACATGACCGCGTAGCGCAGTCGGTAGTAACGCCCTTCAACTTCTCCAGCATTAAAAAAAATAGAAAATCAAATCGAATGAGAATCGTTTATTAGTTTTGACAAGTGAACATCGCAATAAACATCGCAATAAAACAAGTGCAATATTAGATTTTAAAGTTACAAAAATAGTTCGATGATATGATTTGTGAGCACAAGAATTTATGAAATAATACAATGTTGCTATAAATTCATTTTCTCCAGACCTGGAAATGGAAGCATCTATCTGTAATTCTAAAATGATGCGAAGTGTAGCTTCGGAAGATAGATCCAATCATTCCATCGTTTCTGATTAAGTTGCGTACAACGTCTACATGTGGTAGCGTGTTTACAAATTCATCATCGATTCTTCTGAAAATTAGAAAACATTATTTTTTGAAACTTTTTGTTCTAAATGTACAACTTACACCTTCGTTGGTCTTCCATCGTTTCCAACACTAACCGTCAGATTCAAGTCCTTCAAAATCTCATTTGCATAGTTTTTATCATTTAGATTTCGGAGGGAGGAGGTTTCAATTTTCAGATATTCCAAATTGTGAAGTTTTGATCCCTTGTGCCATTCCTTTAATATAGTGTTGATATCCTTTGGGGTCAAATTTGAACGATATAGCTCAATGACAGAATTGTTCCCATTAAGAATTAAAGGTAAAGTGAACCAAGAGGAGTGAGTGAGTCTAATGACACGAGATGGAATTGGTTCCGTGACAGTGGTTTTTCTTGCCAGTTATGATAGATTTAGAACCGAAATAGTTTGTCCCTTTAAGACTTTTGAAAACACGATCTAATGTTTCACCAGAAGTGGTAATGTCGGTATGAATCCAAAAATATCGAACTGTTGGTTGAATTTTGATAATCCACTCGATAAATTGTTCATCACATGTATCAATTCTACAAATTGGTGATTGAAACACTTCGTAGATATTTTCAACCATTTGTTTGAAATCTTCAATCGCATTTCCATTATTCTTTAGGGATAAACAATGATTCACTGATGTTCCAATCAACTTGGATAATTGAAGAAATTCTGATGTTTCTCTATTGTTATATCGAATATTCCAGGTTTGGTCTGGTCCATTTGGAATTTTTAAAGTAACTTGAAGATCATATTCGAGTAACAAACGAATAGTCAGAGGGCTCCAAGGTATGAGCTTCGCAATGTTTTTGGCACGTTTTGAGAGAAGAGAGAAGACGATTCTGAAAATCACTTTTAGAAAAAAAAATCACTTTTGAAAAAATAACTTACATTTCCGAAATATCCAAATTCGCAATACATTCCAGTAGTACTACTCTGGGAAGCTTCAATAGCGAAATTCGATTTTTTGGCTCCGATTTTGATTTTTTTGGCAGCTTATTATTTTTTCGTTGTGAGAAAGGCTTTCCGGCTTTACGCTTCCCGGCTACACTCATTTCTGCGAGTTTTGAGGCTCTTCTTTCTGCAAACGTCAAAATCAATAGGTGGTCAGAATTCAAATGAGAGTTGGACAGTAGAAGAACACCCAAAATCGATGAATAGTTACTGACAGACAGCTGGTGTACGGTAGAGCGCATTTGGAAGAGGGGAGCCTCTTTTGTTCAATAAGAGGAATGGCTGCCAGAGGTGTGCAAAACGCAGTTTTGAGTACAAAAAAGCATTTTATTGAAATTCATAAAATTGGAAATATTGGTTTCGTGATAAAACTCGCTTGCAGTAATGTGTTATATAAATAAAGGGTCATTTGGAAAAGAGAAACAAGGGAAACTACTTTAAAATGAGTGAAAATATTATACATAGGAGTTGAAACACAAATAATTAAAAAGACTTAGATTGCTGGAAATTAAATTGATTTTACTTTTGTCCTATTTTATCCTATTTTCCGCTTGTTTTTATTGTTTTTCAAACTAACTTCACAACAAAATGGAAGGAAAGCTTGGAGGTAATATCAAAAATGTGGATTGTTCAGAAAAATTAATATCTTTTCAGTTTTGGAATCACCCATATTTCAGAGCCGAGAAATTGTTGATGACGATTTTCGAAACTATATACTATTACATTAGAAAACGATATTATTGAAAATTTTTGTCTGGAGAAGTAGATTCGTTAGGAAAAGAAGATTTCAATGAAGGTGAGTATGTTTAATCATACTTATTTCAAACGGCCGATCAGTTGAAGAAACTCTTCAAAGTCAAAACAATATTCAAAACTTTTTTCAGCTATCACAGTATCTCTCACGACCTTTGCGACAAGCAAAGTATGAAGTTGGATCACATTTCGAAAATACTTGACAAATAAAGTAAGAAAAATTTTTTCAAGAAGTTCATCAAATCTTATTTTCAGAAGTTCCTAAGAAATCGTTTATGATGCAAAACGTCGAATTTACTTGAATGTCGAAATTGATGGAAGTTTCTATTAAGATACACATTTAGGAGAGCTCAAAACGCAAAGGAATGCCTACGTCTTTGCAAGAAATTTCCTCACAAGATTCAGATTCATGCAAAAATTTTTGCATTTAATTTGAACATTGTCCCAGTATCTCTTATTTTGTACCCTCCACCTATAGTTATTTTCTCATATTTCATACTTTTGTTTTCTCATATTGTTTCTTTAATAAATATGTTCAGTAGCTTAAGTGATTCGTAATTATGAAAAAAAGGCTTATTTCGGCAAGTTGCCATCTAGATTTCCTGAAGAACGACAACTTGCTCTATGAAAAAGCAAGTTGCTGACCCGAAAAAACTGCTTTCCGTTTGTCAGCGGCAACCAGTTTTTTCGAGTTATCAACTTGCTAATATTGGGCAGCAACTTGCGGAAAAATTCCCTGAGTAGTGCATATATTTTGAATTTTTTGTTGACAAAAAGCCAAAACTTCATGAAACTTCATTGATGCGGGCTTGAGGGTCTTATTTTTGTTCGAAGGACTAGAATCAATAGGTGGCCCAATTCAAAAAACGCGGGTAGCTACTGACAGCCATCTGGTGTACGGTAGAGCGCACCTGAAAGAGGGTTCCCCCCTTTTCTTGGCTGTCATTGATTGTCCTCCTCGTTTTTGAATTTGTATCGATTCTTTGGACACCCCTCCTCCTTACTCCTGAGTGAGAAAAGTAAAGCTATTTTCCCTCGAATCTCTGTTGTCTGCCCCAAGTGTCACAGCAGGTGACAAATGTTCGTGTAGTGACTCTAATGTAAACAAAAGGAAAGTTTCTAGACAGTAGAGAAAGTAAAGAGACGCAGAGAAAGTACATTGCTAATGAAGGTCATATTGGACGATCGAGTCGCCTCTCTCTTCCGCTCACACATAGACATTCATATTCTCTTTTGACGACTTGACTGAATAGACGTCTGTATTTTCTCGGCTCTTCTCCAAAAATCCTACAAGTGAATGGATTTTGGAGAGTTCCTTTTTGATTTTTCGGATTATTCTCTGTTTTTAAACTATCCTATTTATTCCTAGACACTCTATGGATTTCGTAATATCGAAACAAGAAATCTGTGCAATGTAAGTTTCACTCTTCTGCTATCTCCCTTATATATATATATATATATATATATATATATATATATAAAACGATACACGCGTCTGTTGGTCCCAATGTCAGGCTGTCAACTTTTGAAAAGGTTGAAAATAAAATATAGATTTGCGTGACCCTTTGAGAAAACGAGCGACGAACCAGTAAAAAAAAACTAGATAAAAATAGCGCCGAAGGCGCACCAGCTTGCTGGTGTAGTATATAAAAACTGGAAAATAATGGTTCTAAAAATTTTTCCAAAAAAAAGCAATTTTCAGAGACTCCACTTGGTTCCACAAATTTTCGATTGATCCAAGTAGGAAATGGATGGTGGAGGAGTTCAAGGAAGTGTAATGTTCTTCGACCTTCATGCTGACCAACACACAAAAGAAGGAGAATACATCACGTGAGTTCAAAAATTCGAAGAAAAATAATGAAACTTTTGTAATATCATTCAACCGTTTTCAGAACCATGGATCCAAGCCCTCCCAAGCCATTCAGCGACTAGCCTTCCAGTTCTGAGGGCCTCCCACATCCTTCGAGGTGAGTACATTTCAAAAAATTCTGGTCAATGAGTCTTTGAATTTCGCAATTCCGAAACAAACAGGGCCGTTAGGATTTTGAAGCTTTTTGTAGCAATTTGTACCGACATTCATGCAAACTACTCAATTTTTGGTTTAGCCTATTTTCTCAAAATCATTTTTTTAGAGTTCGCTACTACAAAGTGTCGGATGTCGGCATTCGCAATACGGATTTCTCACCATGTGGTCGCTTCGTCGTTGCGGTTATTGAGGACAGCTGCATCGTTCGTATGGATCGGGAGATGACTACATTTTCAACGTCAAGCCAGACAACCAATCATTTCCAATTCCAACAATGCTATGGAGAAAGGGAAATCGGATGGTATCATCAAGGAATTCAGAAGTTTTGTGGAATAAAAAAACGGAAGAAGTCCAAAAAACCAACAGACATTCCGATCTTCCAGAAAAGGCTCTGGACCCCCTTGATGAGCGTTTATTATGTTAGAGAACAACTGGAAATTCAACAATCCAAGAAGATTTTGTAAATTCGGTTAATTTTTGCCAGATTTTTTTGTCCTCTCCCAATTCTAAAGTTTTCGATTTTTTCCGGTCTCATTTTATTCATGGAATGAAAAATATGAATTTTGCTAGCCTACACTACAAGCAAGGCAATTTTAAAGTAATAAAAGTAATTTTAAAGTAAAGTAATTTTAAAGTAAACCTAGGCCACGGCAGCGGGCGCCTTTACTACGTGGCAAAATTTCCGGATTTTTTTCAATTTCATGTCCGGCTGGTAAAAAACGTAAAAAACCACTGTCGGCGACTTGAAAAAAAGGCTGGGTGCCGTGGCCTAGGTTTCTCACTGAAAATCCTCGTCCCCCGGCGGCACCTTTTTTTGAATTTTCTTCCTTTTCAACGCCGTTTTTCGGGGATTTCGTATTTTCTTTGAATTTTTTCGCAATAATATTTGAAAAACAGATACATTTTAACACATTTTAATGCAATAAAAATTTCTGGTCGGAGTCCCCCTTTAACAATTCTAGAGAATTTAAAAATTAAAGAAAATTCAGGTATTTAATACCTAGACTTCAATGTTTTCCAAATATTTGAAGAAATTCCCACATCTTGTTCGTCAAACTTAATGCACTCTGTTGCCTAAAATTTATTTCAAGACAAAAAACAATCAAAAGATCATTTCTTCTCTGACATTGTTTTTGAATGTATTCCTAAATTGTGAAGGAGTTCCCAGACGACTCTGAGAGCCGTAACCCGTTCCTATCTTTGAAATAGCCATGGCGATCGGTCTTCTCTTTTTTGCTGCAAAATCCTCACGATCAATAGATGGCCAAATTCGAAAAAGGAGAGCAATTATTGACAGGCAGCTGGTGCAGAGCGCATTTGGAAGAGTGTTCCCCTCTGGCTGACTGTCAGTAACTGTCCTCATCTTTTTTGAATTTGGTCACCTATTGATTCGGTGGCTCGTACGCTAAAAGAACCACAAAAAAAAGAAGACCCAGGACACCAATCTCGCACAAATGATATTTCTTGGACCCGTTTTTGCCTTTTGGCAACTCACTAGTAAGAAAAAATTGGCGAAAAAATTAGGGCCAAAACATCGATTTCCTCTACTGAAGCTTCCCAGAGTAGTACTACTGGAATGCATCGAAAATTTGGATGTTTTAGAAATGTAAGTGTTTTTTAAAATTCAATTTCTTATATTTATGTTTACTGTAAGCTTCAACAGACTGAAGTTTATAATTTTTCTTTAATTCAAAGAAAATAAATTTGCGGCAGATAATACTTGATATGATTATCATGGACTATTAACTGATCGAAATTCAGAGATTTCAAGAGAATCCATCTTGTCAAAATTTAGACGCAATTTACACCAACGCCTGTTTGCTTCTTTTTCAATTCATGTCACACTATCTGTGCCGAAAATAAGAATTTTAATATTGTAACCTCTTCTAAAAAAATTGCAATCAAAAATAATTTTTCAAATTTCCAGAGCCAGCTTCTCTCTTCTCTCGAAACGTGCCGAATCAATTGCTAAACTCATCGCTAAAAGTATTCCTCGGAATCTTCTGGATATCCGTTTGAGATTTGGAGGAGACCCGAAAATTTTCTTGAGACTTCCCACTGATCCAAGGCGCGTATATGTCATCGATTATAATAAAGGTAAGGAATCATCGGAGTATCCATATGTTCAATCCAGCCGGATTGGACCAAAAGTCTATAACTTTTTGTTCCTGGAGGATAATGGAAACGCTATTGAAAAAATAAAACAGATGGCTGAGCATATCTGTCAACTGTTTCGTTCACAAATTACTGGGATTACCATCGCTGATGAATCACTTATCGAATGGATTATCAATCTTCAATCAACGATTCGATATATTTGGATTGATGATGATGTTGTTAATTCTGTTGAAACTTTGGATCGTATTTTTCAAAATCTTAAACTCACAAGGCATTTTCGATTGAAATCTATTGACAAGAAAATAAAAGTAACGAAACCAATCCCATGTCCCTCGATTTCCATTCACAATTCCTATTGGTTCACTTTACCATCTGTTCTCAATGGGACCAATTCTATCATTCGCTTATATGGTTCAAAACTGACACCAATGGACATCAACACAATATTGAAGGAATGGCAGATGGGGACCAAACTTCAGAATTTGGAGTATCTGGAAATTGAAACCTCCACACTCATAGATCATTTTGAATCTGCTCGTGAGATGTTGGAAGATTTAGATCTGACTGTAAGTGTTGGAAACGATGGAATACCTCAGACAATGTAAGATCAACAAATACGACAAGGTTTTTCAATAAATTGTTCTAATTTTTTTTCAGAAAAATCGATGATGAGTGGATACTTCCTCTACCACAGGAAGACGCCAGATACGATCTGATCAGAAACGATGGGATGATTGGATCTTTTTTCGTAAACTTGCAAAGATATCGACATTTGAAAGTCACATTCATTAGTTTCCGTTTTCAAGTCTGGCGTAGAAGCAGGCCTCGCCAAGACAACAACAACTTCAACTTGATGCACTTTTAAGAATTTCTTGTTTGTTAGTCGTTATTTGTATTCACAGAAATATGATTACTTCCTTTCGATAATAAATTTTGGTTGAAAATGTTCTTTGTTTGAGTCTAAAGTTCGCAAAAAAAATTCTTTATTTTTTTCAACTATTATAGACGAGATTCAAATTGAGGAATAGATTCTGAAACAGAAAATGAAAAAAAAATGGGAAAATCAAAAAAAATGACTCTACAGTATCAAAATCATTCGGCTGAATTAATAAAAATATCACATCAGAAACCAGACTCTCATTATCTCAATACCACCTCCGCATGTTTCATTCAGTTTCCAGAAAAAAGAGACCCCTCTTCCAAGTGCGCTCTACCGTACACCAGCTGGCTGTCAGTAACTTTCCCATCTTTTTGAATTTGGTCGCCTATTGATTTTGGCGTTTTACAAAAAGAAGAGTTTTACAACCATATAAATAAGTTGTTTTCGGCACATCGAATTCGAAAAATATGCCAATTTTATCGAAGCCCAAAAAACGATTCCCTATATTGAAACTTCATAGTGTAATACTATTCAATTGTATCGAACATTTGGATGTTTTGGAAGTGTAAGTCTTTTTTCTTCATTCTTTCCCAAAGATAATTTTCAGAATCCTCTTCTCGCTTCTTTCAAAACGAGCCAAAAAATTAGCTAAACTTGTTCGTTGGAGCCCTCTGTACATCCGTTCGACTTCCCACGGAGGCCCACAAATTTGTTTGAGATCTTCGACTGATCCAGGACGGGAATATGTCATCGATTATATGAAAGATGAGAAACCATCAGAATATCCATATTTTCAATCCAGACTGATTGGACCACAAGTGGATCATTTTTTGTTTCTGAAGAATGAGGGAAACGTAATTGAAGACTCAAAACAGATGGTTGAACTTATCTGTGAAGTGTTTCGCTCACCTATTCGTACTATTGAAATTGATGAGGAATTACTCGAATGGATTATCACATTTCAACCAATAATTCGCTATGTTTGGATTTTTGATGGTGTTATCACTTCTGTTAAATCCTTGGATCGTATCTTCAAAAGTCTCAAAGCGACAGATTATTTTCAGTTGGGATCTCTTGCAATAGAGGGGAAATTTCAATACACGGAACCAATTCCATTTCCTTATATTTCTATCAGAAACTCCTATTGGTTCACTCTACCTTCAATTCTCAATGGGAACAATTCTATCATTCTTCTAGATAGGTCAGAGTTGACATCAAAGGATATAAACACTATTTTGAAGGAATGGCAGATAGGATTTAAACTTCGGAATTTGGAATATATTAAAATTGAAACCTTCACACTCCTGGATGCTACTAGCTATGCTAATCAGCTTTTTGAAAGTTTAAATATGACTGTGGGAGTTGAAAACGATGGAAGACCTACGACAGTGTAAAAACAAGAAGAACGTCGAGGATTTTTAAATAAATCGTTCCAAATTTTTCAGGAAAATTGGCGATAAAAGGATACTTCCTCTGCCACAGGGAGCCACCGTATTCAATTTGACCAGACACGATGGGACGATTCTCTCTATGTCTGGAAACTACGAAAAATTGGAAGACAACAAAATAAAATTGCTTTTTAGCCTGCAAGTTTGGCGTAAACAAGCTTGAACAATCTTCATTGTGTAACATTTTTTTTTGTTGATAGTAATAATCGTAGTATCTCCCTACTTCTTGATAAACAACTTCTGAACTTTATGTATTATTAATAACTACTTCTTTCCTATTCGAATGTTAATGTGTTTTATATTAAAGGTGGGGGGACAGGAGATTTTACGGGGGATTTTTGGGGGCCAGCGTATGCATTCTACCGTAACGGTGTACAACGCTTAATGTCACTCTGCGTACAGCGGTCGTCCTCGCCTTTATGTATGCAATCAGGCGCCCGCTCCAGTTTCGCCCGCATGGCTCAGTCGGTAGCGGCGCCGCACCCTCAATCATCGCCTTCACAAGTTCAACTCCTCGAGGGGCATATTTAAACAGAATTTCGAGAACATTATTTTTTCATGACCGGGGGGGGGTCACCTTTAAGATGATTTGTACTCTATTCGACAATAAAAATATTTTTTTAATCTTATCAAAAAACTGCAAAAACTGTACTAATTTTGTAAATTTCTGATGAAGAAAGTGATTTGAAAAATGAGGTCATTGATGGTTCTACAGTATCAAAATCACATTTGTTGCATGTGGGGCTTTTAAAAACAAATGTGTTCTCTAGGATCGGTGTTAATTACATCAAAAGAGGTGGGACAGGGTAATGGGGAGTGATTAATGAAATTGAATTACGAAATAAGACACTATGAGTTTGATTACGCCAAACTCGGAAACAACATAGTTTAGACATTACGGGGTGCGCGAATATAGATCCGATCATCCCATCGCTTCTGACAAGATTGCGCATTTTGTTTACCCCTGTTAGCCGGTATGTTCACTCATCATCGATTTTCCTGAAAAATTACCAGGGGTTTGCAAAAGTAATGCGCGTTTTTGATGCAACTTCCTTTTATTGTAAAACCAAAACAAGAGATCATCAATCAATAAGATATTCTCCATTATTGTTCACTACTTGCTGCCAACGTGTGCGCAATTCAGCGATGCCTTTCTTGAAGAACTCCTCTGGCTGTGACTCGAAATAGTCCGCCACCCAAATTTGCAATTCTTCACCGCTTTCGAATTTTTTCTCGGCCAGATGATGTTGCATGGATCGGAATAGATGATAGTCCGATGGTGCCAAGTCGGGACTATATGGCGGATGAGGCAGCACTTCCCAGCCCAGCTCCTGAGTTTTCTGCTGAATGATTTTTGCAGTGTGTGGTCGAGCGCTGTCATGGAGCAAGAGTGTTGTCGAAGTGTCCACGCCTTGGCGTTTGAGAGCTTGGTCCACACGGTCCAGCTGATCTTTGTAAAGGTCCGCATTCACCGTTTGACCAGGTCTCAGAAGTTCAAAATGCACGAGACCTCGTGTGTTCCACCAGACACATATCATCACCTTCTTTCCGTGAATGTCCGGTTTTGGAGTCGGTTTCGGGGTCTCGCCAGGACTCAGCCACTGTTTTTTTTCTCCCATTATTGTCCCACTGAATCCATTTCTCATCCGATGTCAAAATCGAATCGAAGAAACCACGATTTTTGGAGCGGTGCATCAGAATATTGGCAACTTCAACACGTCTTTCCTTGTTCGAATCGGAAAGCTCATGAGGGACCCATTTTCCACATCTGTTTGTCTTTCCGATTGCATGCAAATGTCTGGAAATTGTGCACAAATCGCAGTCGAACTGCTCCGAGAGACTGAGAGTAGTTTGGCAAGGATCCACTTCAATTGCTGCTCTCAAGGCGTCGTTGTCCACCTGCTCTGGACGACCAGGGCGCGATTCATCTTCCAGTCTTTCATCTCCGCTCCTGAAGCGCTGAAACCAGCGGCGACACTGACTTTCGGATATAGCTTCTTCACCGAATACAGGAGAAAGTGAGCGGTGAGCTTCGGCAGCCGATTTTCCATCCTTAAATTGGCACCACAAAAATGCTCGAAGGCGAAATTTTGGTCGGACATCAGAATGTTTTTTTCATAGAAATCAAATTGAAACAGCAATATAATATAACAAAATGAAGCCCAAGAACGCGCTTTTTAAAACAAAAAAAATTGAACACAAACCGTTTGTTTTGGGTGAGATACAAAACACCAAACTTGACGCGCATTACTTTTGCAAACCCCTAATAGAAAGAACTTATTGAGGACGCCTTGTATTATTTTATTATCTTACACTGTCATTGGTCTTCCATCATTTCGAACACTAATCGTCGCATTCAAATCTCGGGCAAGCTTATTCCATGGATCAGCATAATGTCATGAAGTAGACGGGAACCAGATGTTTTAGTACCAAAATTTATTATCGAAACTAAATAAACAAAATCCTTCCATGCACACAAATAATGAAAATCTAAAGAAGAAGTCAATAAAAATGACATGGAAATCAAATTGTGCAGTATTTTATATATCGTAAACACAACACTGTAATAGAACGCCACCCGGATCGTCAATTTTGAGCCAATGTATCTCATTTTCTGTGAAATATATCAAAAAGTGGTTAACTAATAAAACGATGCTGATAGTATGACAAACATTTTATTAGCTGACAGCTTTTTGATATCTTTCAAAGAAGTGAGATATATAGGCTCAAAGTGGACGGTCCGGATCTATTAGAGTGTTTACGGTAATTGGAGATTCAACACAAGCTATTAGAGAAGTAAGAAATAAGACTAGAGTTTACAGAACAATACAAAAGAACGGTCAACTATTTTGCGTCAAGTGTAACAATGAAAAATGTAGGGGGGTGTACTCTAAACTTGTCTACGCCAGACTTGAAACATGAAAGCTCTGTAGTTGTAGAATATAGATCCAATCATCCCATCGTCTCGGATTAGATTATGTACAAATTGTAACTCCGGTAGCTTGCATATCCATTCATCGTGGATTTTCCTGAAAAATTAGATGTACCTTTGGAAAGTCTGGTAATATCAATCTATCTTACACTTTTTTAGGCCTTCCATCGTTTTGAAAACTCGACGTATAAAACAAATCTGCCATAACCTCATAATCATCGTCATCAATTCCTCGATGCATAACGTTCTTAATTTCAAGATATTCCAAATAGCGAAGCTTCAATCCCCTCTGCCATTCCTTCAATATAGTGTTGATATCCTTTGCTGTTAACATTGGATCATATAAGCGAATAATAGAATTGGTCCCATTGAGAATTGCATTTAGAGTGAACCAAAAGGATCTTTTAATCGAAATGAAACGGGATAGAATTGGTTCAGTGACTTTAAAATTTTCATCATCTATCTTTGTAGATCCCAAAAAAAGACGTTCCGTCACTTTGAGGTTCTTTAAAATACGACACAATGTTCCAACAGAAGTGATAACATTATCATTAATCCAAACGTATTTAATCGTTGATTGGAAGTTGATAATCCATTCGATAAGTGATTTGTCAGCTATATCAAATGCATATCTATCATCCTCTAAAACTAGTTGATGAAATACTTTTGCGCCAATTATTTCAGATCGAAAATATGGGTATCCTGATGATTTCCTTTGCTTATTATAATAAATATAATACTTATTGTAATACCATTGTTGACTTTGATCACTGGGGAATTTCAAGCGAATATCAGTGGAATCCCAAACAAATATCTAAAGGACTCCAATGAACAAATTTCGCAATCGATTTGGCACGTTTTGAGAAAACAGAGAAGATGATTCTGAAAATTATAAGAGTATGAATGTAGACATTCGAAAAGAACATTTTGTAATAGAAAAAACTTACATTTCCAAAAAATCCAAATTCGCAATACATTCGAGTAGTACTACTCTCGGAAGTTTTAGTAGAGGGAATCGATATTGAGGAGGTTTCTTTTGAATTTCGAGTTGTTCAAAAAGTTGCGAATGATCCATTTCAGTTCCAGGAACTCTCATTCATGCGAGTCTCAAACTATTCTTTCGGAGAACTATATCAATTCCAGCCAAAATCAATAGGTTGCTACATTCAAAAGGAGCGGGCATTTACTGACAGCTGGTGTACGGTAGAGCGCACTTGGGAGAGGGTACCTTTTTTTCTATAATAGAATGCCTTCCCCCTAAGCCGTCATCTTTGGGCTAACTTATCTCCGCTTCTCGATCATCTATAAAAAAGTGGTTAACTGACAAAGTGATCATCATATTATCTGAAACATTTTATCAGTTAATCAATCACTGAAACATGTTCTAGGAACCGAGATGAACTAGCTCAAAGGTAAGTCTCGTCTTTGACAGGTTTTACGGTAACTGGAAGTGACATCAAATGAACTTTTCCTAGATTGTGGGGCACCGACGCCGACCTAACTAAATTTGGAATGTTAATTTTTGATTTTTCAAAGCAAATTTTATTATGGAAACTTTAAAAAACAAACTTTTTAATCTTGAAAGAACGCAAGAAAAAATTATTAGAATTACAAAAAATCAAATTGTACAGTATGGTTTAAAAAAAAGATCAGTAAACAAATGAAGATTGAAAATTTAACATAGTTATCAATAAAATGAAATAAAAGACCAGAGTTTAATAATACAAAAAAGTGTTCAGCTGTTTTCTGAAGGTTAACTGAATTTCAACACAAAAATTCAAGTTTGTCTACGCCAGACATGAAGCATAAAAACTATCCTTCTTCTTTCGCGATCATACTCTCTGTAGCCGTAGAATACAGATCCAATCGTCCCATCGTCTCGGATTAGATCACATACGGATGGTACCTGTGGTTGCCGGTATATGTTCTCATCATCAATTTTCCTGAAAAAAATTGGTATGAATCATTAAAAACTTGTGTTATATTTGTTTGTCTTACACTTCCGAAGGTCTTTCATCGTTTCTAACACTTGCCGTTGGATTCAAATCTTTCAAAATCTGAGGAGTACAGCCACCAATATCTTGGAGCACGCTATTGATTTCGAGATATTCCAAATTGCGAAGCTTCAATCCCCTCTGCCATTCTTTCAATATAGTGTTCATATCCTTTGGGGTCAAATTTGAACGATCTAGCTCAATGAAAGAATTGTTCCCATTGAGAATTGCAGGTAGAGTGAACCAATTGGATCTTTTAATTGAAATGCAACGGGATAGAATCGGTTCAATGATTTCAAAATCTTCATATATTTTAGTAGATTTCATACGAAAATCTTCCGTCACTTTGAGGTTCTTCAAAATAAGATACAGTGTTTCAACAGAAGTGATAACACCATCATCAATCCTAAGGTATTTAATCGTTGATTGGAAGTTGATAATCCATTCGATAAGTGATTTGTCAGTTATATCAATTAGGTAAATAGGTGAACAAAAAACTTCACAGATATGCTCGGTCATCTGTTTCAAGTTTTCGATAGCATTTCCATTATCCTTCAAAACTAGTGTATTGAATACTTTTGGGCCAAATTTTTCAGATCGAAAACATGAATATTCTGATGATTCCTTTTCCTTATTATAATAAATAGACCAATGTTGATTTCGATCACTGGGAGATCTCAAGCGAATATCAGTGAAAGGTATGAATCCCAAACTAATTTCCAATGGATTCCAACGAATGAATTTAGCAATTGATTTGGCACGTTTTGAGAGGATAGAGAAGATGATTCTGGAAATTGTAAGAGTAGGAATGTAGACATTCGAAAAGAAGATTTTTTTAATAGGAAAATAGACTTACATTTCCAAAACATCCAAATTTTCGATACATTCGACTAGTACAACTCTGGGTAGCTTTAATAGAGGGAATAGCCTTTTCGGAGGTTCATTACGAATCTCGAATTGTCCTAAACGTTGCAAAAGAGTCATTTCAGTTTCGCGAACACTCATTTATGCGGTTTTGAGGATCTCCTCTTTGCGAACGCCCAGTCAATAGGTGACCAAATTCAAAAAAAGGCGGGATATGACTGACAGACGGCTGGTGTGCAGTGGAGCGCATTTAGAAGATGGGACCTTTTTTCTGTGAAAGAATAGTCTAGAGGGTTGTTCACAAAGACCCCCTTTGGCTGTAAACTTTGATATAACTTCTCTCGGGTCTTAGAAAAGATTCCAATAAGTGGTCAACCATCAAAATGTTTCTGATTTTATGATTAACATTTTATTAGTTGACCACTTTTTGATATCTCATACAGTAACCGAGATAAGTTGGCTCAACGGTGAAGATTTTGGGGGCTCTTCTTTGTGGGTTTACTGTATTATAAGATGTGGATTGCTCAGTTGCAGACCCAGCAAAATCCGGAGAGCTTTCAAAAAATAGTTTTGAAAACAAACTTTATTTTCAATACTTATAAAATATATTTACGTGCAAAAGAATCTGAAGACAAAATTATAAAAAATACATTGAAATCAAATGGTACAATATTGTAAATGAATAAGGAATAGATAAATGACAAACTTTGTCCAATTTTTCTAGAGTTTTTAATACAAAAAAGATCTTAATTGTGTTCTGAAAGCTAACTGAATTTCATCACAAATATCCAAGTGGAACAATAATAAAATAGAGGAGTGTACTCTAAGTTTGTCTACGCCAGACTTGTAACATAAATTCTATAAGGTTCTTCTCGCCTTCATTCCCTGCGTAGCCGTAGAATACAGATCCAATCATCCCATCACTTCTGATTAGATTGACATATTCTTCATCCTCTTTTAGCGTGTATGTACTCTCATCATCGATTTCTCTGAAACAATATAAATAATTTTTGAAAAAAATCTTGTTGCATACCGTGAAACCTGTATTAGAAGGGCCTCTTTCCTAAATTACTGAAATTGTTAATGTTGATAAGAAAAATAGGAGGGTCTGCCCTTCTAATACATGTTTTACGATATTTTGTTTATCTTACACTTTTGTAGGTCTTCCATCGTTTTCGTCACTCTCCGTTGGATTCAAATCTTCCAAAACTTCATCGTTAAATCCATCCCAATCCAGCATCGTGGAGATGTGGATTACCAAAAATTCCAAGTTTCTGAGCTTGATTCCCATCTGCCATTGCTTCAATATAGTGTTCAGATCATTTGGTGTAAATATTGAATGATATAAGTCAATGATCGAATTGGTGCCATTAAGAATTGCTGGCAAAGTGATCCAAAACGAATCCACAATTGTAATGGAACGAGATGGAATTGGCTCGGTGTATTTCTCATCTGTTTCGATAGCTCCCAAATAAAAATTTTCCGTCACCTTGATATTTTTCAAAATGCGATCCAAGATTTCAATAGAAAGTACAACATAATTAGGAATCAGAACATTGCGAATTGTAGGTTGGAAATTTATGATCCGTTCGATGAATGATTTATCAAATATATGAAAATCGCATATTGGCGAACGAAACACTTCACAGATATGCTCAACCATCTGTTTCGAGTTTTCAGCAGCATTTCCATTATCCTTTAAAACAAAATGATGATATACTCTTGGATCACTCTTCTCAAATATATAGTATGGAAATTTTTCCTTTGTCTTATAATTAATTATCCATTTCCTATCTGGATCTGTAGAAACTTTTAAACAAATTTGCACCGTTCTGTTGAATCTAAAACAAATGTCCAGTGGACTCCAACGAATGAGCTTAGCAGTTGTTTTGGCACGTTTTGAGAGGAGAGAGAAGAGTATTCTGGAAATAAGCAGATATATAGATGTTCAAAAATTGACTTTTCCAGATAAAGAGTAAAAGAAATTCAGAAAAAAGTATAACTTACACTTCCAAAACATCCAAATTGCCGATACATTCAAGAAGAACTACGTTAGGAAGCTTTAATAGTGGGAATTTATGTTTTTTTGGGTATTGGTTATGAATTTGAAGTCCTGAGAAATCCAAATCTCGATGAAACGTCATTTATGGGTTTTATAGGACACTTCTTCGTGCTAATGCCGAAGTCAATAGGTGTCCAAATTCAAAAGAGGCGGGCAATTACTGACAGACAGCTGGCGTACGGTAGAGCGTATTTTGGAAGAGGGGCCCTTGTTTTAAAAGATGAGGTGACAGGCAGAAAAAGAAGAGGCATGGTTCCAGAACATCCAATTGCTTCCATTGAATTTTGGAAAAAAGGAAAACCTGCAATAGAAGGACACCTCTAACTGTAATAGATTACAAATCTACTGATTCACCATTTATTTAATCCAAAAAAATGGTAAGATCAATAACTAATTTCCATCTCATTTTTCATCTTATGGCTGAAGCCTGAACCATCAGAAGCGCTCCAAATGATTCTGTGAATCATCGTACCGCATGAATTGTCTGATTTCAAATTCAGGTGTTTTAAAAATTATCTGAATTCGACATCAGATTCTCCGGCATCGGTGGTTCAGTAGTAGAATCTGCTACGCGGATTGTCCTTGTTCGATTCCCGGTCGATGCACCATGTCGCAGCGCCACGCGGCAGGAATGCGGACCCGAGACCGCGGACCCAAGACCGCGGACCCAAGTCCTCGGACCCAAGACCGCAGACCTAAGACCGCGGAGCCAGGACCGCAGACCCAAGACCGCGGACCCGAGACCGCGGGCTTAGGACTGCGGATCCAGGGCTGCAGACCCAGGACCGCGGACCCAAGACCTCGGACCCAAGACCGCGGACCCAGGACCGCAGGCCCAAGACCGCGGGCCCAGGACCGCGGACCCCAGACCGCGGTTCCCAGACCGCGGACCCAGAACCGCGGACCCGAGACCGCGGGCTTAGGACTGCGGATCTAGGGCCGCAGACCCAGGACCGCGGACCCGAGACCGCGGGCTTAGCACCGCGGACCCAAGACCGCGGACCCAGAACCGCGGACACAGGATCCCTCTCCTTCTCTGGAGCCCAGAGAAGGCGAGAACTGATTGTTCCCTCCACTTTCCTCTTCCTTTATAGTACTTTCCCTGAGGTCAAGGGTCGTGGGTTTCTATACCAATTCACGTAGAATTTCCAATAAATAATTTCAAATTTTCGAACACTTTTATTATTATTCTCATCTACAAAACGTTTTCCATCACGTTCAAATAACTATTGAATTTTTACTTTAAAGGTGGGGAGACATGAAAAAAAATCTCGAAGTTCTCGAAATTCCTTTCAAATATGTCCCTCGAGGAGTGAACTTGTTGGGGCGAGGATTGAGGGTGCGACGCCGCTACCGACTGAACTATGCGGGCAAAGAGAAACCGGTCGCCCGATTGCATACATGAAGGCGAGGACGACAGCTGTACGCAGAGTGACATTAAGCGTTGTACACCGTTACGGTAGAATGCATACTCTGGCCCCAGAAATCCCCCGTAAAATCTCCTGTCTCCCCACCTTTAAAGCTTTTAAAGCTTTTGAAATCTGTGAAACTCCTTGAAAAGATCCTCCCTTTGACCCTAATTATCTCGTTCCTTGTTTGAGTTATAGAAGAATGGTCAACTAATGAAATCTTGATGGTTTCCAGACAAACATTTTTGCCCTTGAAAAGTTTTTGACATCTTTCACGAGAACCAAGATACACTGACTCAAAGACTCACTATAAGTTCTATAAATGAATCAATTCAACGAAAATTCTGAAGAGCTAAATTTCACCTTTCAAGAAAAATAGCCAACTTTGAAGCCCTACAAAAGAAATCAAATGTTTTCGGATCTGTCTGAAAATTCCAGAGTAGGCTAAACAAAAATTGAGCTTCATTTTTGTAATTAACAACTTTTTTGTACAAATTCAGCAAAACGAGCTACTCGAATTTGAAATTGGCAATGTTCTCATTTTTGACATTTCTGCACTTTTTTGGTTAAAAACGGCATATTTCATCTAGATGAATTTGTACAAAAAAATGTCAACTACAAAATTAAAGCTCTATTTTTGTTTAGAATACTCTGAAAAATTCAGAAAAATCGAAAAATTCTGGACCCCTTTTGTAGAACTTCGAAATTTCCTAGGAAAAGTACTATAATTGTGTTTTTTGCCAAAAATTTACATTTCGATTTTCACAGTTTCAAAATCCTTCGAAGTATTCTTAAATTTTCAATTCCAATCAATCAATCTTTTTCCTTTCTGGGCCGTTTGTTTTTATTTTTGGGGACTACCCATGATCACCCGAGCGCTTCAATTTCGTAATTTACACGGTCAGATTACTGTAGGATTACGGTAGCTACAGTAACCGAAAAATTCTAAAATTGCCAATGCTGGACCAATTGAGACCAGACTTGCATTGAAAAACCCTTAAGACACCTAGACTGAGCCTGTGAAATTTCAGAATTTTTCGTACAGAATAAACTTAGATACCAGCGCTGTGAAATCTCATACTCTAGAAAATTCTAGAAGAATCGAGAACGTTCCAGAAAGTTTTATGAACGGAATCTCGAATTCAAAAAAGATATTTTGGCGGGAATTCAAAAAAGAATTTTTAACAGAAATTTAAAAAAGATATTTTGGCGGGAATCCAAAAAAATATTTTGGAGGGAATTCGAAAAAATTTTTGGCGGGAATTTAAAAAAATAATATTTTGGCGAGAATTCTAAAAAAAGAATTTTGGCGGGAATTCAAAAAAAAAATATTTTGCACTGGGGTTCAAGCGAGGGGGTCAGAAAGCGCGCCCCAGCAAACTCGTAGGCCAGAAGAAGTTTAATAATTTTCAAATTGGACGCGGGTTTGATCTAGATCATGATCTATTTCTTCAAAATCAACTGGTTGCAAGGCGCGCTTTTCCGCTCTTCATTTAAAACTGTGAAACTCAGCCAACGAAATTCGTCAGCGAATTTAGAATTTTTCCTAAATTTACTGGGGCGCTCTTTCTGACCCCCTCGCTTGAACCCAAGTGATTTTGCCAAGAATTTAAATTTAAAAAAAAAGAATTTTGGCGGGAATTCAAAAAAAATAATATTTTGGCGGGAATTCAAAAAAAATAATATTTTGGCGGGGATTCAAAAAAAGTTTTGGCAAGAATTTGAAATACCATAAAATATGGATACACTTCCAGTATTCTACAACTTTCTACAACTTTCTGGAACATTTTTGAATTTTTCAGGACATTCTAGGACTATCTAAAATATCTCTTCTATGCTCATCTTATTTGTATTCTTGCTAATAATGTTTTTGAGTATCATTGTCCTATAAGCATTTCTGTTTTTCTGTTGCTGAAATTCAGTTGTTTCACTAATAAAAACAAATACAAACTTGATTCTCCAATCACCCCTCAACCTTTAAAAATTTCCGCTGGTATTATCTAGGTCAACTATGCTGGTCCAACATTCATAGATGCCCTGCACTCATCTACATCACTATGAATCATACGATTCGACGGGAAATTCAAAAATTCATTTTCCGGGTTACGGTAGTTTCAATTTTTCATTAATTGTCTTCGTTAATTATATAAAATTTTCACCCAAATTTTTCCTTTTGCTTCTTTTGTTGCCTCCTCCACGTCATCCACATAAATTCCGAAATCTGTTGGCTGGAATTTTTAGATGAATTAAAGCAAAATTAAATGTTTTAAAAAATTTATAAATCCAAAAAATAGAATGTCTAATTCAAAAGATGATCAAAATAAGGAGAAAAGTGTGATGAATTGTGAGTTCCATTTTAATTAAATATTGAAAAATAAATAAAAATAAAAATAATTTTTGAAAATTGTGAAACTGAAAAAAAAATCTGGAAATTCTTAAATCCTAATTTCAAAAATTGAAAAAAAAACAACTTTTAAAACATTTTCAGCCAACCGTAGTCCCCCAAGAGAAGCCTCCAAACTACTATCTCTGGATGTGACTCAAGAAATTTCTGGACCTGAAAATAGTAGTTCTCCAGATTTCAAAATCGATAAAATCGATAAAAATGAAAATGTCCATCACCGGAATACGATTGTGTTGTCCGGATACTCATCGAGAAGAGTCAAATATAAAAGTGAGTAATATTTTTTTTGGAATTTTCAAAAAAGGGTAATTTTCAGAAAATGAGCCCTCCGGCGGAGCAGTTGATATCGATGCAGATTTGGTGAGAAACGATAGGACATTGAGAGATGAGGATTGGTTTTTGGAGAAAATTGAAAAGTGCAAGTCAGTTTGTTTTCAGATCCGGCGGGAATTTGAATTTTTCAACTTTTAGAGCCAAAAAACTGCAACGCATCTGTGTGTGTCCATTGCCACGCTGCTACCGTATCATCGACGCAATCGATGGATTTAAAGGGACATGGCAAAGAATCAAACGATTCTGTTTTATTACTTGTTGTCCGCCGTGTTGTTGTATCATACAGAGGGTTGGTTTGGATCCAGTTTTCTAGGATGTCTGTAAGAGATAACAAAAAGTGGTCAACTGATAAAATGTTTATCATAATATCAGTAACATTTTATCAGTTCACCACTTTTTGATACCACTAACAGGAACCAAAATAAATTAGGTCAAACCAGGCGCGCTGGCTCAACAACGCGATCGGCGCTAGACGACCACTGCTCCAACTTTGATTCAATTTATCTTGTTTTCTATTAAAGATATCAAAAAATTGTTAACTAACGAAATGTTTGTCATAAAATTTTGTATATTTTGTTAGTTGACAACTTTTTTGTACCTTTCATAAGAAGCGAGATAAGCTGGGTCAAAGTTGGCGCGCTGGCGTGGCTTACATGGTGGGCGCAAGCCCACCGATACTCCAACTTTGATCCAATTTTTCTTGTTTTCTCTTAGAGATATTGAAATGTGGTTATTTACTAAAATTTGGCATGAAATTTTGTGCAATTTGTTCGTTGATCAGTTTTTGATACCTTTTATAGGAACCAAGATAAGCTGGGTCAAAGTAGGCACACTGTGTCGCAAGCGACCGAGCTACTCAGTCGGCGCTAGCCGGCCAATACTCTTAAAATTGTTACAAATTGAAACCAATTTGCAGTCCGCCTTCTGGCCACCTCGTCGTGAATACTACTTCTTCATCCCTCCACCAAACGACGTCTTCATTGAAGTCAATGAAGAATCAGAAGCGATTCTGATGACGGCACAAAAAAAGAAGTTGAAAAAGATGAAGCGAGCGAAAAAGTGTGTACCCGGCCAAATGTATCGTTTTGGTTTGAGTCATCCGTGTGCAGACGACGTGAAGTATGTGAATGCGTTTACGGTGAAGACTGCGAAGAAGAATGTAAGTCAGACTGCAAATTCGGCCGGCTAGTGTCGACCTAATTTATCTCGATTTCTGTGAGAGGTATCAAGAAGTAATTAACAAACAAAATGTGTAAAATGTTGTAACAAAAATTTAGTTAGTTGACCACTTTTAGATACCTTTCGCAGGAATCAAGATAAATTAGGTAAAAGTTAAAGTATGGTTGTCTAGCGCCGACAGCGTCCCAATTTATCTCGGCTCCCGTGAGAGGTATAAAAAAGTAATCAATTAACAAAATGTGGAAAATATTGTAACAAACATTTTATCAGTTGACCACTTTTTTATATCTCTCACGGAAAACTGGAAAAATCGGGTCAAAGTTAAAGGGTCCACCAACTACAAACTAACCCTCTGACCCCATTTATCTCGATTGCTGAAAGAGTTATCAAAAAGTGATTAACTGATATAGTGTATAAAATTTTATGAACTTTTTTTCAGACTCTTGGATGTGTCTACATTCCGTGTCCAGACAACCGTCCACCTCGATTCACCCTACTGTACTCCCACCCAAACGGATCTGACCTATCGGATCATCTCGTCGGCGTACCATCACTAATCGATATCGCCCGATTCTATCGATGTGAAGTTTATAGTTACGATTATTCGGGTTACGGTATCAGTGGAGGTTTCGCGTCCGAAGCCAACTTGTATGCTGATATACGAGCGGTTTATGAGGTGAGATCGGGAAGTGCGCTATATTGGGAAATGGCATTAAAGAATTTGAACTCAAAAATATAGATTTGAAAAGTAAAAACGGAGCTTCGAAATTCAATTTGATTTGAACCAAAAATCAAAATTTGAGAAAAGTTGAGAAGTTTCAACATTTTCTAAACTCAAAAGCGTATAACTCCCTTCAAAATTAACATTTTCAAATGTTCTGAACTTTAAAATGTAGATATTGAATCGAGCCACAAGAATGTATAAAAACTGGGTTATTTTTCTTTTTCGAAAATCTTGAGTTTGACGTCATCAGGAGATATTCCGGCTCCGCGTCACTTCGAAACCGCGACACTTCGAAACCGGTCACTTCGATACCAGTCATTACCAAAAAAACCCGGTCATGTAAAAATAAAATTGAAAATTAGAAATTTTAAGTCTTAAATTAAAGAAAAAATATCGCAGCGTGTAAATTTCGCAGTTTCGAAATCACTGGTTTCTAAGTGTCGCGATTTTAAAACGACCGGTTTGGAAATAACTGGTTTCGAAGTGTCACGCAGTTTCGAAATGGCAGGTTTCGAAACGTCGCGGTTTCGAAGGGACGCGGACCCGATATTCCCTTGTTACACGTATAGTTTACACCACAGGAACAGGCGGCGGTAAGAAAGAGGGAGGAAAAGCTGCCATTTGTATACGCCGTCCACTCCACCTTCATACTGTTGTGTCGTGGTGTAGTGGCTAGCGCGTTACAGTTTTGCCCAGTTGGTCGCGGGTTCGAACCCTCATGGCGGCAATTTCTATTGCTTTTTTTTAAAAGATGTTTGCAGCACATTACAATTGAAAAACACGTGGATCCGTCTCGTCTGATCCTCCTCGGATACTCAATTGGCTCCGCCGCCACCGTCGAACTCCTCCGGCACCATCAAAACGAAACAAATACAAAAAAAGCGGCAGGCGTGATTCTCCAGGCTCCGCCCACTTCGATCTTACGGGTAATTGGAGGTATGGTGGGACGAAAAAAGCATCTAAACAAACCGACATGTTGTATGGATCGATTTGTGACAATCGATAAAATCCCTGAAGTGGAAATTCCGATTTTGGTAATTCATGGAAAAGAGGACAAAACTGTGCCGATTGAGCACGGAGAGATGATTTGTCA